ATGACTTTTTTTTATAAATATTATAAAGTGACTGTCGTTTTAAAATAAAATTAATGAAAATAAAAATTAGTCACCAAAAATCAAAGCAGAGAAATTCAAGCGACACGAGGTGCTTTTCGCAATGTGCTAATTTGAGGACTTCTAAAAATCCCAATTGTTATCGTCGACAACGTAGATAAAGAGCCAATGAAAGTCCTCCGACAAGAAAATATATGTATATTTTTATTTTTATAATTTATAATTATAAAAAATATAACTTATAATTTTTTCCTCCGATATATATAGGGTGTCCCAGAAATATCCGGTTGACTTTGATCGGGAATAACCTGGATACTATTGCACGCAAAGAAAAAAAATGATGCAGGATTTTAAAGCAGGTTTAATGACTTTTCATTTCACTTTTCAAAATGACTGCCATTGTAGCATTTCACACAACGCTGGAAAACCGAGTCCCACACGGACCGCAGCATTTCAACGTTTTCAATTTCCGGTTTCAGCTGGCAAATCGTCTTGGGTTTTCGTGCGTAAATCGTGGGTCATATTTTCAAAGGGCTACTAACAAGTTAGTATCTACTAAATAGCTACTAAACGTAATACAATTTTAGTAGCTGTTGGAGGGTTGTTTAAAAGGTTACTCATTCTCAGTCTGTCCTTTATGGACGTCTTACGTGCGATTGATGCAGAAAAATGTGATCCATCAAATCAATACAGGCCAAGAATGTATTGTACCATGGGAACCCCATGCGTTCTTAAAAAAAAATATGACAATTCATGGCATTGCCTTGATTGAATACGCTTGCAGATTTTCCAATGTTCTCAGTCTGCATCCCCATGATCTTTCATTCCCAGTACTTTTTTCAAGATGTAAATGTCCATCCATGTTCTTCCATCATTTCCATTCGACGCTTGTACTCTCACTTGTACAAATCCATGTGCAAGAATGCTTCAGGAGCATTCTCCTGCCGGTAAAAAAAAAAAAAAACTGATTTATTTCTGTGCACATCATCAGTGGTAAGATCATCCATGATCGCATCATCAACACGTTGATTGTCAAATTCATGCGGCAGGGTGTCCACCATTACTTAGTATCCTCTGATGGTTCAGGTGGAGACCCACCACCAGTTTTCTTGCATTCTTTCCTGTACTTCGAAACCTTTTACTTTGCATCACCTTTCATTCGTCGCCATTGTTCCTTGTGTGGCGATTCATGTCTCTCTTCCGGCCAAAACGATGATGAAATCTTTGCACAACTATCTCGAACATTTTCGACGCACCAGTTTCCCGATCTTGGACGTTTAGCGACACTCATAATTATCACGTTATTCCCTAACTGCAAGGAGATGAATGGCCGACAATGGAACAAGGTGTCATGAAGGAAAAATATGCCTTTTGACTTATCTATCCGAACCTTGAAATGAGTCATACTCATTCTGTTGTTCAATCATCATCATTAGCATACATTGGACATGCGAAAAAATCGACTTTGAAGAGATATATGTCCCCTTGTCTTTTATACATAGCCCCACCGAAAAAAGTCTAAAGGAGTCAAGTCGGGGGAGCGAGGGGGAAATTCAACCGGACCCCTACGGCCAATCCAGTGACCTTGCAACTGGGCATCAAGCTTTTTTCTGGAAAAAGGATAAACAAACAAATTAAAACTTAAAAAAGCCGCACATTAAAATTAAAAATTCAAGAGATACTGTATATGAGATCAAAGTCGGCCGAATATTTCTGGGACTACTCTGTATATACCTACGTATCGGAGCAAAAAAAAATGATTCGATAGTTGTGAAACCTGCGAACAAAAATTTCCAATCGGCACTGGTTCGTGAAAGCGCATTGGTTTTCTTGCTGGCCTTCAGGAACCATTGGTCAGGAACCAATTAAAACAATTGGTTCAATTGTTTTATGAATTGGAAGGATCAAGGAATCAATTGGTTCCTGACCACGAGATTGATTTTGATGAAAATGAGCTTTAATGGAACGAAAAAGAGAATTCATTTTATTTTATTCTATAGTAAGGAAAAAAAAGAACCGATCCCAACTGCAAAAAAAAAAACTAAAAAGGTAGTTTTAGCAAATTGCAGAATTTTCTTCGAAAGAGAAATTTTGCAATTTCTTCGACGGTTGAACCGAGGAAAGACGAGAAGAGATCGATTAGACGGAATGAAGACATTTTGCAGTTTTCTCTTTGCCAAAACAGAAAGATGCGAGGTCACTCGGTTGGGCTTTCGATAATCCGGACGTTGATCCCGGATAATATCCCCGTAATTTTTTTTGGCGCGTGGAAACCGCGAATTCATCAGGAGGAAATTCAAATTTAATGAAGATGCCATCTGCGTTCGTTACGTTTTCCTGCGGTTACGAAAACGCGAGTTTCGTCACCGCCGCTTCAGCGCAATGAAGCAGAAGCAGGAAGGGAAATTTTGCGAAACGTTTTTGATTCTCCATTAAGTGACCGCATCGCTTGATTACATCAAACTCATATAAAAGCTGCAAAATTTGCAACATTTGCAGCTCAGATTCCTGTATTACATTTCTGCAGAGGAATAGTTTATATAATTCTATGCAATTACATAGGCTATTCTTCATTAAAGCATTACCGAAACAGTAAAGTTTTAATGGTGCTTTTTCCATTTTTTCTCCATGGAACTTTTTCGCCTAAATGATTACCCACGAAAGTAACCAGAAGAAAAATGCATAATTAATATCCTAATTTATAAAATGTAAATGGTTAAAAAAAAGGAATACAGAAAATATTATTGAAAAAAAAATCATAGCGGAATAGTAAAAATAAATTTGAGGTTCTGAAACTGGACGATGAATAAATTTTTGTGACAGATGCGGGCCCATATGCAAGAACCTATCACTTGATAGCCTATTACGTGGTAGCTATCTTGATAGGTATCAGGGGATAGGTCTATAATCTGCTAGGTTCCGTATGCAAGAACAATTAATAGGTATCCATCGTGAGGCACCAGAGTGCTGTGTGACTATTTAATGGTATTAATCTGAGATATGCATAACATTTTTCTGCATATGGCCTACTTATCAAACCTATCAAACTTGTCACGTGAAACCTCCTCCCCCCCAAATAGCTATTTTATCAGTTTTATATGTTCTTCCATACGATCCACGACCGAGAGCCATTGATTGGTTTCCCTTCGATCGTCACAGCAATTTTTATCGGCATTTTCCTCACCAGTTCGTTCCATTGCACTTTTCACTCCTCACTACAGGAAGAAGTAGAAAATGGGGTAGGAGCTCAGAGGATAGAACTCTACCGTAGCATGACTGCGAGGCGAAGCTCGCCAGTGGCGACATCTGGGTTCATATTGAAAAAGGAAAGATTGAACGATTCCCCCGCTAACTTACTTCGTTGAGTAGCTGTTTCTGATGATTATTACAGAGCTCTTCGATTGGTGCCGCATTTCTTCAATGTCAGTAATTTGTTACTTAGGCGTAGTACACTCTGGCGTGCCCCTTCTTCATCCAAAGATCAAGGCAATTATGTGGAATCTCATTTCTCGAGCAGGAGTGCAGCTTGGCGATGGAAGGCTAGGCCGAGGCCTAGGCTAGGCACAGGCTCCAAGATTTATGTTGGCTCTAAATGAGGCATTTCTCGACGTGAGTGAGCAAGTAGGTCAGTAGTGTGCCTGCTAGCCGTTGGGTGTGGAAAACTTGACAGGTTCTGGAGACTTGAACTCGACAGCCATGTCTTTAAGAGATTTAGCTGCGCAGCATTTCAAAGGCTCGCCTGTTCAAACAAGTAGCCCAAATGGAATGACCCAGGATTCCCTTCATCGATCTGAGGAAAAAAATCCTGCCCCTCAAAATGAATCTCTATGGAGGCTTCCAACTTTTTCAAACTTACCACTAGGAGAGAGCCAAAATAGTGGAAGGTTGCAGTCAGAGGACTCAGTGAAACCTGAAGTGGCAGGGTTTTCACTGTGGAATTTGGCAGAGAGACATCTAACATCAGGAGATAATGCAGAGAAAGCATCCTCATCTGTAAAGGAGTTCGGCATTCCTGCAATTATTCACAAGAATGATCACACAAACAAAGGGGTGGTGTCAACAGGAAAAACTCCAGAAGAGATGGCCCCATCTCAGGAAGATACAAATTTGGAAGAGGGGCCCAATGCAGACATTAGTGCAGATGCATTGAGAAGTGATTCTCCTGAGATTGACTTGACCCAAGCATTGAAGCAGGTAGCTGGTCTACCCTCCACACCATCACAACAGAAACAGGGAGGTGGTGAAAGGCAGAAGAGAAAGAAGAATCGCACAAAGCAACAGTTTGTTGAACTTGTTATACCTCAATCAACGATAAGCCCAGAGAAACTGTTGCAATTCAAATGTGAGAAGCCCTCTCGATTGGGTTACATCATTTGTCGAGCGAGTGATGAACGTGAAAGTAGAACAAATGGACCTGTAGCAAAGACTACTATTCCAATGCGGACACCAGTGATGTTTACAAAAGAAACCTGGCAAGCTATCTCTTCATCCTTTGGGGAAGTTGTGGGCCCACCAACTCCAGAAATTTGTTCATTCACATTTAACACTCCTTCACCTGATGAAGTACCAGCCTATTCTGAAAGGAGAGTTGTGGGACTGATTTCAAGTGAGTACATGAAGACAAATCTCTAATAGAACTACATGTGTGCTTAATCAGAATCAAACTTAGGCCAGCTTTTGAATTTTTAGCCCATTGTGTCCTTATGGTATGCATGGTAGGGTGACCAGATTGTCCTGGTAAAACTGGGACTGGCTGTTTTCTCTGGAACAGCACCTGTTTTTAAGTCACTCTCCTGCTCAGAAAACTATCCAGGGATTTTTCTATTTAGTGCCTTTCATTTGAAGCAAGCAACTCATCAGCCCATTGTCAACTGTAAAAGTAGGAAAATGTATTGAATTTTCCTTTTAAAAAATCTTGTCACCCTGATGTATGGGTTACTGCAATGCTATCTAGTGTTATGTATGTTTGGGTGTGGCTCACTATAAAACTGAAAAGCTACTGTTTCAATGTTCTGTTATTGGAACTCCTACTTCCCATTGGGGTCACCAGTGTTGCCCAATTGGTATATTTCTTAAAATCATTCATTGTCAAAGCAACTACCCTCCTAGTGACTAGAAAACTATAAATAGTAAAGCTACTGAACTTGACTTTGCAAGGTCCTCATTTGCTCATGCTCCACATCTCATTGTATCCCTCCCAAACACCAAGTTACTCAAACCATTAGTTTTGCACCACATGTTATTAAATGCCATGTGTTGCCCCAGGTTGTTATAAGTTTTTCTAGAAGGCTGGCAGTTTTATTTTATGTGGTTGTTTCCACCTTGCCGGAACAATTACTTTGAGATAATGAGCTCCATGAAGTTGAGGAAATCCAGGCCTATTATACTAGTATCTTGCATCCAAGACCATCCTTGTTACTCCATTTCTCCAGAAAATCTGCAAGAACCCTTTCTTTGCCATTATTAAGATTGCATAGGTATTGAAGTATGAAGGCTAGGCAAATGATGGTCATGCAGATACAAGTTCAGTAGCTGTAGTACTACTATTATCATAAGGAACTAGTATTCTCACTTGACCAGCAGTGAGGTAGTGAAGGGGAGCTTCAGTCCTCCAAAGTTTGGTTCTAGCTTTCAACTCTTTATCTGAATGCACTTACTATCCTCTCCCCTAGCTGAGGAGAGGTTAGGGAAATTCTAGTTTCCCCACTGGTTCCCTGTTTGTCCTCTTTGGCAAAATCCTGGCTATGCCACTTTTGACTAGCTTGTTCCATTTCAAGTAATTACCATGCTTTGCTGTAAAATATACTAATAGCTTATTTCCTTTTCCATTCATAGGACAAGAACCCAACAAAGGCAAGAAGCAACCCAAGGAGTTTGATGTTGGTCCCTCTTCCAGTGCGACACTCATGGATATCTTCTCTTCAGACTTCCGCAAATTTTGCTTCTTGAGAAAGAATTGTGATGATGATTGAGTTTGATTAGAGTCTCTTTTGTGTGTCCTTTTTTTTTAATACCAAGACTCTGTTTCTCACTCTGTTTCTATGATACTGAAGTTCATGGAATTCTGCTTGATAGTAGGCCCATGATTTTTCATTTTCTGGTATTTTTTGCATGATCCATTGCTTATGTCAGGTAGGCTGTGTCCAATCACTCCAATATTGCAATATATCAGTTTTTCCTCTTAGTGACAGGTGATATGGCTTTTGCATTTCTTTTTTTTTTTGCACACCAGAGCATCAGATATTGTCACTACCTCTCACTATCAAAATAAATTTCAATTATTTTTACAGTGAGTGCTCTTTACTGATTTTCATCCTCCTCCCATCTTGGTCTTTTTTCTGGCTGACATCCACTTGGTGATAAGATACCGCTGTCGAATAATCTGTCGGTAGCAGACCCATGCCAAACAAGGGTTCTTATCTATCCCCATTTATGAGTGATCTGAAAGTCATTTTTGGCAACCTGATTTCAGATTTTATTTCAAGTACCACAAAACTGACTTTTGTGTACTCTTTCATAAGAAGTACTCTATCCTTGTCTCAATCATTTTCATGATTTTGTTAGTAATATTTGAAGATGACAATGTGTCTTATGTGACTTCTTCAGCAAAATGGGAAAAAGCCAGGAAGTGAAGAAGCCTCACAAATCAGGTGTACAGGGGCCAAATAGGCCAGGTCCAAGTCAAGAGAGCAAGAAGCAATTCAGTGAGTTTCTTTTATAAAGTAAAAAAAGATAATGAAACAGTGCATTTCTTGGGAGGCATGACTATGATCCATCATGTCATGTTGGCTTGCATAAGTTTAATCTCCAGATATTCTGGTGGTCTTTGTTCTGCTGCCAATAAACATACTATTCCAACAAAAAAAAAAAAAGAGTACCCCTTGAGCATCTTGAGTGGATATAGCCCTGTCTTTTCCTGTTCAGTGCCAGATACTTCATTTCAGGGAGCCTAGGGAGCAAACTCTCACCCTACCATAGGCCCTTTGCTGCCCTCCTTTGCTGTTGATGAAATGACTTCACTGTTCACGGCCCAAAATTTTGTGCCTTGTTTCGAGTGAATTCAAGGAAATGATCTCTTTATCTCCTTTGATTTGGTACACAATACATGATGACTCTTGCTGGAATTTTGAGAGGGTGATCAAGGGAAGATAGAAGGATCCATCCTCCTTGCTGCTTCTCCACCACTCAGTTTTTTTTTTATGGTATATTTTTCACAAGTGAAGGTTACTAGTAGAATCATCTCCCCTCTTTCTCTCTTATTCCTTATATTGTATTCTATGGTGGGGGGGGGGGGGGGGGGGGGCATGGACATTTCAGGTTACTGTTTTCATGCATTTGATGTATCTTTTTCAAGTTCTTTATAGTTTTTTCCCTTAAAGTGGGTGAGGGACACACCCCTTCTGGTCCTCTTGACACTATGTGGCTGACTATATGGTATTATCATATAGGGTGTCCCTTTTCTTTGAACATTGGCCTGTCTGATGAATGAAGGAATTCTTCCATGTCTTCGGGTGTAACATGTGAATAGCCAGGGGCATAGTCAAGAGGGGAGTTATCAGCTAATCAGATGCTGTTGACTTTGTGATGTTGTTTTGGTTTCTGTTTCCAAGTTTGACTTAAATTTCTATTTTGTGTTCACTCATTTGTGTTTCCTTATTTCTAGAGCATGAATTGTCAAAACCAAGGCCAAGGATGAAGGATGTGGCTGACCCGTTCATGAGACATTACTACAGGATGCTCAAGAAGGACAAAACCCTGCAGAAGGAACAAACAAAAGTGCTCCTTGATTCTGAAGAAGAGGAGGAAGAAGCAGAAGAGGACAAACCTATAGAGTGAGAAAACCTAGCTTTTTCCTAGATTGAAATTCATCTTTTGGTTTTGGGAATGATGTAATGTCACCATGGTATCAGGCAAAGATTGCAGGGTTCCCATGGACCTAGAAAAAGCAAAAGACCAAGAAAATAGGAACGAGATCAAGAAGTCTGAATACTCAGGCAAACATATTTGGTGCAATTTCCTTTAAAAATCACTCATGAATGAAAGGGAAGGTTATATGTAGAAGATGTAAGTCATGTGTAAGAATGCAATTTATGCTCAGGGAAAGCATTCATGAAAGGGAAATTGATTCTCTAATTTTTTTAGAACCAATGATGAATATATATATTTTTTCATCCCAGGGTATTTCTGGAGTTATGCATGTTCCAGAGAATAATTTAAAATATGGTACTCTAGGAGCAAGAAGCAGATGAAGCTGACTGCATTCCAAAAAGCAAAGCAGATGTATCAATTAAAGCAGAAGGAGAAAGAGGAGGGGCTGAAGAGACGAGAAGAAGCACGACAGCGAAGAGAAGAAGCACGAAAGAAGTACGTGGAGAGGAAGAAAGCCAAGATGAAAGTGTTGAGACAGAAGACGAAAAAGGGACAGCCGATCATGAAGGGACGCATTGAGCTCCTCCTGGAAAAGATCCAGAGGGACACTGGTTACAAATCCTGACACCGTTGTCCAGTTCTTTACTGATGCCTTTTGAGTCTGGAGCTGTGAGATCTCATGTTGAATTCAAGTTTTATCCTGCATCTTGTTCTGGTTCATGACATTGTGTGCTGGGTGTCTTCCTTTTGGTGCAAAAAATGCTGGAAAAGTGATTAAAATTGTTGTCAAGTTTATTTTGATACCTCTCCTTTGAACTGCTCTATCTATAGCTGCACCAGCTCTGATAATCTGGTCAAGCCATCTAGTTCACTTAATTGCTTACCTTTTTGGTGGGAACCCCTCTAGAGGTGTATTGTTACTGAGGTTTTCTTGTAAGAACCCATTGACCCTTATGTCAATTTAATATGGTGCTGTTCGACGTCATGAGCTGCCGATGCGATTGGTCTGGGTCATTCTGTTCTTAATTTCCACTAACCAAGATTTAGGAAGGATTTTTTGCCTTTATTAGTATGTACAGGGGTCCTATAAAATTTATTGCTTGCTCTAACATCTGTAACTTGAATACTATGAATCGTAGAGCAATAACATTTTGTGGACATACCTTTGAGACCATGGGGAACACATTTCTTTTGAAAACAGCTGTGGCTATCATAGAGTTCCTCTGATCACTTCATGATTTCTTGATGACACTCGATTTCTGGTTGTGGGATACCTCAAGTCAGTTGTGTATCGTGCAGCGCCTGCTACCTTAACTGACTTGAAAAGACCCCGTCCGACATGATATAGCCTTGTTAAACACTGGACAGCTTCGTTCAGCTGTATCATGTCATCCAAAGAATGCAAGCCATCGTGAACATGGTGGTCGCATCGAGCAGATGTAAAACCTCTGATGGCAGTTGTAGTTAACCACAGAAACGTGTTCCCCATGGTCTCAAAGGTGCGTCCACCAAATATTACTGCTCTACGGTGAATAACATTCAAGTTACAGATGTTTGAACACGCCAATAAACTTTATAGCAACCCTGTATTTATTTATATTTACACCACACGATTCTTGTTCCTCCGCAGAGCCTTGAGTAACAACACGTGCTGCACTTTAAATACAACAAAAAAAAAGAAAGGGAGGGGGAACAGACGGAGGAGAGACACGAGACAGGCGGGGTGGATCCATGCTGCGCATCGCATTGTTCTACCCAGATCCCAGATGGATTGAGACACATGAGTAGTTCGTGAAAGTGTCGTGAGGGGTTGCATAATGGATTTGTTCAGGGATCATTGCAAGTCAGATCGTATTGTGAAACTTGAGCCTTTCTAGCCATCCATTCTTTGCTATTCCTGTCCCGTTATTGCAGATGTTTAAGGTCCATAAGCTGCAAACCCGCCGACAAAAGCGACCTTTAACCCGCCATAGAGCCATTCAGAAGTGCTCAGACTCTCTCCAAATGGAAAAGCAATTTGGGCACGGCGTACTGATAATGGAACAAGACAAATGATGGTCTGTGAGACACAAGCCCACCCATTACGGAATGGTCTGTTGAGACACGAGAATTAAAATCATAAATTTCTTTTGGCCACCCCAGCCGAATCCTTTTTTGTGTGTCTCATGCTGTCAAAGTTGTTCTTCGCCCTGAGAATGCAAAAGGTATCAGGTTTCGAGGTCCAAAACAAGCTGGAAAATCCTCGGACTCAAAGAACCCTATCGAAGATAACTTGACTGCACCATTTCCCCTCTTGTGATCCAGCAGTATGTGCAAGTTCTGTTTGCATTTCTCGAATATTTAACTACGAATATACTTTTCGCAGGTGCAAATGAGAAAAATCTTGCACGTTACTCTTCCACGTTATTCGAGCGAAAAGCGGGAAATCCAGACTGGGTGGCAGATGCACAAATTATTCACAACGGGGGAGAGGGGGGGGGGAGCCTCTTCATGGCGCCTTTTCATTTTTCATCCGCGGTAAAACCTGGATATTCGTTTCACAGACCATAACTAAAGAGAAATGTAATTTTTAAATACTTCAAGATAGATTACGAACCTGGACACATTCCGCCACTGAATCCAGGTGCCAAAAGACGCACCTTTCCATCCTATTGTATATATCAATCCGCTGAGACTCGAGTGGCGACGACGGACTGGCTCTTGCATGCTATTTCTGTCTTTTCCCCTTTTTTATTTTATTTATATACCGGTGTTAACGTTGGTTTATGTTTGTAGTTCCGTGAGTACTTACCTAAATGTAAGTTTGCATTTTTTGCCGGTCAAGTACTCGGTGTACCATGAGCATAAATCCACGTTCACACCGGTGAAAGTGTTAATTTAATGCGATCATTCATCCGTGCCACAGAAGACAGCTCTATCCATATGTCTCTCTGAATGCAACCCGATAATCGCAGCCTTCGTGATCGCAGCGGGAAGCGGAGACGGCGCGAGTCGGGCCTCTCGGGCACGAATTTCCCTAATTTCCGTCGACGGTCCGTTGGTTGAAGTTTTCCCCCCTCTGGTCCCCCCCTCTTTTTCTCGACAAAAAATAATACCTAACATGGCAAGATGTCACCGTAGATACCATTCAGCAGATCTCGAATACAAATACAAATGTCCCCGTCCTCAACCCGTTTTAGGAAAAGTGTTACAGGTCATATCCTACGTCAGCATAGCGAAACCTGGAAAAGGTAGAAGGTCGAATGAGGTGGCATTGTACGCCATCGAAGAGACTAGTTCAAAACAGCTATTTGTCCTACATTTAGGTTAGGTTAAACCTTGGTTGAACATGACGAATTAGGTGGTGTTGAATCCGATTATATGCACGCAGCTGAAGGGGTAAACCCTGTCGTGGCACCCCGAGAGGGTGAAGAATTTACAATTTATTTCTGTTTGAAAGGGTTAGAGCGAGAACGTCAGGACCTGGAGGAGCCCGGTGATAGTGGGCCCGGGAGGAATCCGGTGGTGGTGTGGAACCGATGAGCCGTGCCATGAACACCTTGCGACTCATCGTCTTCATACAATTCTTGACTCGGGTGATCCTTCTAATGATACGTCGGCCGACGTGAAGGGGCACTTTTCGGCATCCTCCTTTCACCCGGCGGGAAAGCATCAGAGATTCTCGAGGGCGAGAGTCGCAGTTCCTCTTCGGCGATCGGTATGGGAACAACCGTTTGTCGTACTTTGGCCCTTGCTTTTTTTTTTTTTATTCTCCGGGGGGGGGGGGGGCTTCAAAGGGTTAAAAGCGAATGAGATGTCTTCTTCGCGTTCATGCGAGACGTGACGCGACAGACCAAATAACATTTTACTAATGTGGGCAAGGGCCAACGCAGCCGCCTGCAGTTTCATCGGGAAAGCCGTAATGCAAAGCTTGACATCTTGACATTACAGCATCTCTCGGTCCCGGTGGCTTCATTGTGAATTCACTCACGTGGATTCACTCAGTTGGTACTCGTTCCTTGGTCATAAACTGACTTGGTTCTTTTTTTAAACTTTTCTTTTCGCGAGTAAAGCTGGGTCATAAACCATCGATTGAAGACCTGTCAGACCTCGCAAAAAAATGCAGGGTTGCCAAAAGCGGAAGTATAATGCTTCATCGAGGCAAATACGTTTTATTGGTGCTATTGTACCGAACTTCGTAGCATAAATAAATAAAAAGTGCAGATTAAAATAACCCTGAGTCTCCTCCGTCACGAAAAGATTCAACGGTCGTGACTGTCACGAAAGTCTTCGGTACCAGATAGAATTCGACATCACTGAACTGACAGGTCAGTCATCCGACAGTGACGTCACGGAAACTTTCCTATTTCTTCCCCAACTTCCCATAAATCAAGGGAATAAACCGGAGGAGCTCCTAGCGAACCGCCGATACGTCTTACGTCACATTCGCATCCGTTTTGATCGTAACCGAGCGTCAGCAGCGGATCGATGATTTCACAATATGGAGTGTAATCGGTGATGCGTGTAATCCGTTTTTTTTTTTGTCACTCTTGCTGGCGCGTTTCGTTAGTCGTAGACAATGTGACGACCCTGTCCAATCCCGGTTGACAGATAATTCTTGCTCCCTGCCCTTTTCTCACCCCCGACTCGTTACACTCTTGGAGGGGGGCAGCTTGTGATAGCCCCCCCCCCCCCCCCCCGCCCCCCAGCGTCGCATCGACAAGCAATAACCCCCCTTATTTTTTGCCCCCCCTTTTTTATGGCATCAGTTTCTTGTAACCGCCTGGTTTTAAACGCTGTCGGCGTGTAGTCACGTCATGATCGATAGATTGATCTTCGATGGGCCGTCATGATCGATTGATTGATCTTCGATGGGCCGTCGACGACGCTCGGAGGGAATCACGGCTCACGACACCATGTCATTCTTCGCATCATTAACATGCAACATGCATTAAGTTAACGATTCTCGAAGATGATGTGAACGCACGAAATGCTAGCAAAGCGATCGTCCTAAATTATTTTACTCGTCGATCATCAAATCGATCGATGAAATCGAGCGTAACGTGAACTTGTTTATGTCTCCACCGGGAAAATATAGGGGGAAACTCGCTCTTCGGCGAAGGTAGCGTTTTCTTTCGCGCCGACCATCCGATATATTTTTCTTAATGACCAATAAAACAGCACGACGCAGTAATAATTTCAGAAGTGCCGGAATGAGTGTGGAAATCCGGAGGGGAATGTGCGGCAGGGTGGTTAATGACAACGCCGAGGGGCGCGGCCATTACCGGCTTCCAAAGCCGATCGGAGCCCGGTTAAGCAGCGGTTAGGCGCAGGTAAGATGAAGAAAGCGATTGCGATTTCGGGTCGAATTAAATGAAATCGTCTCTAATCCTTCTTCGATCCCAACGTAATACGGACCCCAGCCCGAATCCAGTCCTTAATCCGGTTGAATCGAGACGAACTGATTTCGATTGAATTGAGGCAAATTTAATTCGATTGGACATCCCCAGATTCGTTACGTAAAACCTATTTCACTGAAGACTCCAAGACGAATTTTCCTAAAAGTCCCTAACAAAGCCTCCAAGAAAAGCTTCTTTTTCCATGCCCATCACACGCAGACTCGCACAAGGCATTTCGATGTTTATACGAAATTTCACCATACCAGTCCTGCAAGTGGCCGTACCCACTTCGCCCGAGGACTCGGTTGGTGGACTCGGTTGGTAGACTCGGTCGGCCTGCATTCAGACTCCGCGTTGCTTTCGCGGATTTTTCGACGGCGGGCGGCAATCCCCCGCGAAGCGGAAGCCTCCGAAATG